TGTCCCAGGGCTGGTCAGTTCTACTCAGCTGGTCCTCAGGGCCCATCCGTGTTGCAGGTATCCAAACTTCAACCGACATATTACCCTACAATATTCTACCATATGGATACAATATGTTTTGTTTATTGATCTCTCGGTTTGTGAATCTTTGCACTGGACTCATTATCTCTTATTTTGAAAACGTGTATAAATTTTTGTGTAAAAATGTGTTTTCATTTACTTTTAGTATATCATTAGGAATAGAATTAGGAGGTCCTCTGGTGACTCTATGTCTAACTCTTTGATCATTTACCAGATTATTTTTCAAATCATACTACCTTTCACATTGTCTAATATAAGAGTAGTACTTTACATTCCAACCGGCAGTGTACAGAATTTTAATTGGCCCACTTTCTCACAAACACTTGGTATTATTGCTATTTTGAACAAAATGATCTGGGTGTGCAAGTTGATATCTCATTGTAGTGTTCATTTTATGTCCCTGATAATTAATGATGTGGTTAATGTCATTTATGTACTTATTGGTCCATTGTAATATCTTTTTTCCTGGAAATGTCTATCTGGTGATTTGTTAATTTTTAAATTGAGTCATGTATCTGTTAATTATTAAGGCTTAAATGTTATTTATAGTTCTAGATATAGGATTATAACAGAACATATGAGTTACAAATATTTTTTTCTATATGTTATGTAGGTTTTCATAGTTTTATGATGTTCTAAACACAAAAGCTCCATTTTTTGTTGTTTTTCGTTGTGATGAATTTCAGTGTAATTCCACTACTTTTTTTTTTTTTTTGCTTACTATTTTGGTATTATGTCAAAGAAACTCTTTCCAAATCCAAAGTAATAATTCTTTTTTTCTGTTTATATTTTCTTCTTATATCTTTATAGTTTTCATTTTCTGTCTCAGATAATTGATGCATTTTGAGTTATTTATGTATGGTATTGATACAGGTGCAAATTTACTATTTTTCATGTGAATAAATAAACAGCAGTCTCGGTGCACAAACACACAATTTACTGTGTCAGCATATTTATTAAAAAATCACTTATATTGCCAGGTATAGTGGTGCACATCTGTAATCTCATCAGCTCAGGAGTCTGAGGCAGGAAGACTGCAAGTCCAAGGAAAGCCATAGCAATTTAGCAAGATCCTGTCC